AGTTTCCCAGGTCATCCTTCTTGCCCTTTTTGAAGACTGGAGTGACATTAGCTTTCCTCCAGTCCCCAGGCACCTCACCTGTTCTCCAGGATCTTTCAAAGATGATGGAGAGTGGCCCAGCAATGACTTCTACCAGCTCCCTTAGCACTCGCGCATGCCCCATGGACTTGTGGGTGTCCAGTTTACTTAATTGTTCTCTAACTTGATCCTCTTCAACCAAGAGAAAGTCTTCCTTCCTCCAGACTTTCTCTGTTACCTGCAAAGTCTGGGACTCCCAAGGACTGGCCTGAGCAGTGAAGACAGAAGCAAAGAAGGCGTTTAGCAACTCCACCTTCTCTGCATCATCTGTCACCACGGCACCTGTCTCGTTCAACCACAGGCCCACATTTTCCCTAGTTTTCCTTTTGTCTCCTATATACTTAAAGAAACCCTTCCTATTGACCTTAACATCCCTTGCCAGATTTAATTCCAACACTGCCTTGGCTTTCCTTGTTTACTTGAGCCTTTTGTCGCTTTAGTTTGGAGAGGAGGGGAAATTTGTCCGTAGGTGTTTGGCAGGAGTGCAGCTTCTCTGCTGTCCCCTTTTGAAATGAAAAGAGATAGATGTACCCTGAGTAACTGTGCAGATCTGTAGTTCCCCAGTTCGGGGTAGGGGAGTCTCTCAGACATAACCATCTCAGCATCCCCTGTGGTGCGCAGGGCTTACTTAGCAGCGCTCCTTTGTCAAGGCCATTCAGCAAGGGCCACATCAGTCTCTGCATGTTTTGACTGAATGATTTGGCTGAGCTTTCATGCTGCTAATATCTAGTTCTCTCGTTTTCCTCTTTATTTTTTTTAGGATGCCTCTTGGGAGGAGCCAGATAAGTTTGACTTAGCCAAAACAAACTTCAGGGACCTTGAAGTTGGCTATATTTGTCTGGGAATAACTAGTCTCACTCTGGGAATAAGCATCTTTCATTTCATGATGTTACGAAGCTGTTGCTCTCTATATGGGCAGCCACTTAGTCCAAACCCAGCGGGTTTCTGGAAGGTTTTGTGTTTAGTTTTTTGAAAGGCTGCAGCTTGAGTGCATCCAAAACTAGATGGAGAATATGGGATAGGAATAGCTAAATTCATCCTAACATAGAATTAAGTTTTAGAGTAGTAGTTTGTAATGTTCTCTGGACTCAGACATTACACTGCCTTGTCATGGCAAATGTGCTCTCTTTGGCTTGGCAGACTGCATATGAGTTGGTATTGTACTGGTCTGGACGATGTGCTACGATAGTTTGGAATTGGTTCATAAATTCCTGTGCTTCTCCCTTTAAAATCTAAACATCTTCTGTATATGCTGCTCCTAAATCAGGATTTGGTGTCTACACAGGCAGAAAACGCAATTCACTGACTCCTAGATCGAGTCTGTTTCCTTGTCCGGGATGCCAGCGGGATATCGATCTCGGAGAACGTGGCATCAATGGCTTATTCCGCAACTTGACTTTGGAGACCATTGTGGAAAGGTACAGACAGGCAGCCAGGGCAGCCGCTGCTATTATGTGCGACTTCTGCAAACCTCCACCTCAGGAGTCCACAAAGAGCTGCATGGACTGCAGTGCAAGCTACTGCAATGAATGCTTCAAAGTACACCATCCCTGGGGAACTGTGAAAGCCCAGCATGAATATGTAGGACCAACCACCAACTTCAGACCCAAGGTAAGCATACCGTATCTTACAGAATTTGGGTTGCAGCGCTCACGTATGGCTTCAGACATATCAGTGTAATGACTGTGTCCTTTTAGGAACGTTGTTGCTTTATTGACTATTGCTGCTATTTATGGAGTGAACCGTAAGCTTTTGTTCTTGTTGATGCTGAAGTGAACTTCCCAATAACGGTAAACTGGTCTTTACTGTGCTCTTATAGAGACTTTTTTTGAGGACTGTTTGAGCTTAATATAAAGAAAGAAAAGTGCATTTTGCATTGCACTGCATTGTTAAGACCCAAACTGAATGCATGGAGTAGTTGCTGGTCTCCTAAACAATGTTCCCAGTCATCGCTTTCATTCACAACCAGACTGGAGAGCACTTTGTAACGTGTGTGGTGGGGATGGGAGAAGCACATACTGGGCTGATTGTTCTTGAATTCTGAGAGAACTGGACAAGGTAATCTGCTGACCTCTTCTGTCTCTGGCTTGCTGGCTGTAATTCTTGCTTATATGAGGAGATGAATAAAAGTGTGTGGTTTCTGTTAGGTGTGACTGTGCACTGCTGTGGAAAAACTGCTTCCACAGACTAACAGCATGACTGCAGTTTTTGGAGATGTCTGCCTGCACAGCTAATTTTTCTGGAAGTTTCCTTTCTCTGTGGGCTTTTCACCATGGCCTAAGCTAACATTTGGTGCTTGAGAGTTGGTGTCGAAGATGGTCTGCAACCTTAGCTTTGCGCGTCCGTGTTTATGCTACTTTATGTGCCTTTTAGATGGTTTTATCTGTTGCGTGATCTTGGAGTTGAGCCGCACTTTTTTCCCCTCTTTGAGCAGTTATTTCAACACGCTCAGTTTTTGAAAGATGAGTTTTAGCGAACACCAGCTTTTTTTGCAGTGCTGTTTAAGCTGCTGCTGGAATTAGTGCTCAGCATGAGCAACGTGTAGTTGGAGTCAGACAGAAAAATTGAAACACTGGGGCCTTTTGTCTTTAAAATGACTGTGACTGGTGGTGGTGGCTGCGTTTCATTTGTTGCTCCAAGAGCAATGGCTATGTGGCTGATCAGAGTCTAGCTTAGACCTAAGTCATTACAGTATTATGTTAACTCTTGCTTTAAGAAACAGTTCATAGGTGTTTCAAGAGCCGCCAGTGTGGACCAGCTTAAATTTGACAGGGAGGATGTGTTATGTATTGCATTTACATCTCTGAACAGGAGTGCAGGGAGCTTGAGGAGTGCAGACAACTTCAGGGATTAGCAAAATGGTTGATTGCAGTATGGAGGCTACATGATGTGTACACAGACATTGCTACAGGTTCACTCACTGTAAACCTCGTGAAACTGTGTGTTTTCATCTGCTGGCTTTCACTAACATGGACAAATGTAAAAGGTGGAAGATAAACAGAATATAAAAAATATCCACTGATGAGTCAGACGCTGCTGTGGGATAATTTGAGTGTTTTGGTGGTTTGTTGAGCACTTCAGTTTTTGGAAGGATACCTGCATTCTCTCTGCTCTCTTTTTTTTTTTTTTCTCCAGATTTTGATGTGTCCAGAACATGAAATGGAGAGGGTAAACATGTACTGTGAAATCTGCAGAAGGCCTGTTTGTCATCTGTGTAAACTGGGTGGATGTCATGCAAACCACAGAGTAACAACCATGAGCACTGTCTATAAAACCCTTAAGGTAAGAGTAAATATTGTTGGACCTGGCCTTAAGAAGGGGGAAGAGCACTGAGCTTCTGGTGTAAAGGCAAACTCCCCCTGGCAGGACGCCAGGACGTGTGTTTGGAGGACACTGAACGAGTCATGAGGCATGCTGTTGTGCAATGTCTATTAATGTATATATTAGTGTAACATAGTGTGTGGCTGAGAAACTAAACTATATTTTCTATGTGGCTTGAAACAGAACCCCTTAAAAGTGCTTCCACCTTATGTTAGCCAACTGTGCGTCAGTACTGACCAATGCAGAAGGTTTAAGAAGTTAATAGTTTACAATCTGGCTTTTTTAAGGCAAGTGTCCTTGTGACTCGGGTTAGCTGATACTTCAGAAGCAGTCCTGAAGAATCTGCATCGGAAGTTATCTGCTGGGACCTTGTATGCTTCTGAAGTTGCAGAGCTGTTAATTCCCTAAGCACCGTACAACAGGGCAGACTCGCAAATGTTGCTTTGTTATTAAAGAATGATTGCTGCTGCCTCCTCTTCTTCCTTTTCTTCCTCTCTTGCTCACAGGAGAGAAGAAAAAAAAAAAAAAAGCCCATCCCAGCCTGCCTTCTGCTCTTTGGCCTCCTCGCCTGTTTGCAAGGCTTTTCCTGTACAGCTGTTAACTCTTGCAACTAAGGAAGTGCAGAGACACTCATAAGTTCATGTTTCGAACCACTCATTTTTCTAGCAAACGTTACTACAAATGAATTAATAACCTACGAGGCTTTTCTGTTAGTTCTGGTAATGTCTTGAAGCCTCACGTTCCTAGCCTAAGCGAGAGGGTGACTGCTGTGGCTGGGGAAGGATGAGCCAGCTGAGTCTGTCACCTCTTCTCCTCAGAGGCTGTGCCACCAGTCCTGCTTATGGCAGTGGCCTGATGTCCCTGACCAGTCATCACAGGTCACCGAGCAATTCCCCACAGGGTTGCTGCTCGTAACTGATGGCAGGCTCTTGTCCTTGTAGCTACAGAAACCAAGCGCTAGCTGGATGATCCACCTGTGCTTGTTGTCAGTTTGGGTGGGATGGCCTTGTTCTGCCTGCCAGTTTGCTGTTTTATTTTAACAGGAGAAGCTGTCAAAAGATATTGAGTACCTCATCAGTAAGGAGAGCCAGGTAAAAGCTCGCATCTCACAACTGGATCTGCTGCTGAAAGAAACAGAGGTAAGAGTGGCTTGTGTCTGGGGATGGACCTTGCAGGGACACAGCAGGGACTCCAGCTGTTTTCAGTGAAGTGTTCCAGATCCTTTGGGTTTTTTTCAGTTAGCCAGCAAAACCATTTCTGAACAGTTTGTGTTGGTCCTGAGTCACAGAAGGTAAGACCTAATCCTGACAACATGGGAAATTTGGGCAACCTACAGAGGGAAGTTAAGTTTTGGGTGCTGCTCTGAATTTAATTGACATAAAGCTTATTTGATACCTTAACCAAAGAGAGGTGGGTTAGACTTAGAGCTCTTGTGTATGAGTGGTGCTGCACAATTCACACTGTCTGTTTACCTTGAGGATGTTTGAGTAAAGTCAGAATTAAGGGCAGAATCTCCCTGCAGAAGAGTCAGAGCTGGGAGATCACATACAAGCTGAAAAACATGATGGCAGAAATTGGCAGGAGCTCCTGGCCCTGCCTGTATCTTGCTGCAGATGGTCTCCATGCTTTGTAGTTCCTTCAATCCAGGGCACTAATCAGAGGTGGCACTACAGTTCTGAGGGCATAGAGGAGAAACCAGGCTGGACCCCTAGTTCAGGGTGATTGAGGAAGGTGGAAGAGCACCTAGGTCTTGGGCATGAAGACTTCAGAGACTGACTTGCTTTTACAGTGCTTTTCCATGAGCTGTTTAGACAAATGCTGTGTATAACTCAAGACATAATCGGAGGAATACTTTCCTGCTCTTTGCTCTCTGTGTTAAGATGGGAAATGCTTACTAGCTTGGGTGCAGTGCTGATTGCATTTTCAGTGCTGAAGAGCATAACAAAGCTCATTAGTCTTGTCTGTCAAATGGATGACTAGTTTGCTCTGATCTCTTGAACAACCCTAAGTACATTTCTGTACACAGCCACAGTGCTGTGGGATCTGTCTAAAATGTCTTTTGTTCCCTCCTAGTGCAACAGTGAAAGAGCTAAAGAAGAAGCATCTCAGAGCTTTGAGAAATTATCTCATGTCCTGGAAGAGAAGAAATCCACAGCTCTTAGGGCAATTGAAGCTTCTAAGAATGTAAAGCTGGAAAAATTGCGAACGCAAGCAGAAGAATATCAAGGGCTCCTGGAAAATATTGGCCTTGTAGGATATGCTCAAGAAGTGCTTAAAGAAACTGATCCATCTTGTTTTGTTCAAACAGCAAAACAACTTCACGTCAGGTATCTTATTAATTATCTTCTGTTTGAGGTACAGGTACTGTTCCAGGGATGTCTGGTCAGTCATATTCTTTGGACACCTGCTAGCAAAGTACTGAATGGAGTACCTTGTGTTGCAGAGCCTCAGAGGTGGTCCCGGTACTGTTCAGTAGAAATTCCTATATTACAGTGTGTGTTAAGAAACAGCCCAGAGAGACTCTGTCCTGCGAACACACCTAGCCTTGTTCAGTAGGACTGCAGTGGAAGGGTAACCCATTTGGCTCACTGACACAGTCCTTTGCTCAGAGATTGTATCGGGTATTTGCAAGTTGATCTAACAGGTCTCTTCTGGCTCTAAACTCTTTGATCTGAATAGTTATGCTCCATTAGCGCTTCGCACCTATTTTGTTCTTTGAATGTAGTGCCCCAAATTGTTAAAATGCTCTGCCAACCAAACGATCACCTGTTTGTTATCTTTACACTGATGTACGAAAAGCCTTTAAATTTTGCATTTGAATTCTGTCTAGAGAGACAGAAATTTCTGGAAGACATGAGTAAGTACCTGAAAAGAGAATTTTTTTTTTTAAGCAAAACCTAGCGGTTTTGCTTTAAGGAACGCACCCATGTGAATTCCCTTTTCCCTCTTCTGCCACCCCTCTGCTTCTGTGCTTTCAGAATCCAAAAAGCTACTGAATCTCTGAAGAGCTTCAAGCCAGCAGCTGAAACTACTTTTGAGGACTTTGTGATGGACATAGCCAAGCAAGAAGAGATCCTTGGTGACTTGTCCTTCCATTCCAATGGTAAATTGTGAGAGCATCATGTCTTTCTCGAGTTATGGCTTTAAGGGCTTCTCTGGAAAGAGGCAAAACTTACGCAGGGCTGCAGTTGCAGAACTCAGTCTTGCGACTTGTATTGTCCCTTCTGCCTCCGTGATCCACAAGGCGTTACCTGGCAGCAATGCTACCTTCAGCTTTGATAAAGAAGCTAAGATGCCATTGCATTCAGTACCAGTTTACACTGGCTTCTGAAATATTGTAGTTAAGTAATACTAGGCCTTCCTAGAAGCTTTTTGTTGTGATTGCACGACAGAAAAGAATAGGTTTTTATATGTTTTTTTTAGCTGCCAGCAAAAATAAATAATACAACTTTCAAAGTAAAACCAGAAAGGATTTATTTCAAGTGCATGAACAGACCCATCCTCATCTGCACTCCTTGACTGAGTCAGATTTCCCCCTCCTCACCGTCCCCCCAGTGCTACAGCCACTCAACAAAGGGCTTCTATGGTTAATTCTGAAACAACATGTGTCTAAATTTGATGTTTTTTCTCATGAATCTCTGGCATTCCAGGTCTAGAAATTCCAGAAATCAATGAAGAGCAGAGCAAAATGTACAACAAAGCTCTGATCAGTTGGGAATGCCCTGGGAAGACAGACTCAGGTCATATCTATGTTCTTGAGTATCATAAGCTTAATAGAGAAGAGGAGAGTACGACGTGGCAGGAGGTCGAAGTTTGCAGCAAGAGCAAAGTAATATCTGATCTTGATCATGACAGCAGCTATGCTTTCAGAGTTCGAGGAAATAAAGGGTCCATTTCCAGCCCTTGGAGCCGAGAAGTTATTCTGCGTACGCCTCCAGCCCCAGGTATTGGGTTTTCTTATGTCTACAAGCTGCTGGATCTGCGTCTGTTGGTGTTAAGAGCTGTAGGTGCTTTCCAGTAGCTCCCAGACTTCTACTACACTGTTACCGGTTGTATAAATGTTTAAAAGCACTGTTAACAAACAGGTTAAGTAAATAGCATACTGAGACTGTGTTAGCTTGCGTGACATTCCTGGTAGCCTTTAAAAGTGAGGAATTCTAAAGCCAGTGTGACTTAAAATATAGTTTATAAGCACAGAAATACTTAACTAAGAGGAAATTTTTTGGCATGCTGTTTTCCAGTTCTCAGTTTTCTTTTTAATGAAAAATGTGGGTACAACAGTGAACATCTCCTGCTGAACCCAGGAAGAACCTCTGTGGAAAGTAGGGCTGGATTTCCTCTACTGCTGGGGTCTGAGCGCATGCAGGTCGGATGCTACACAACCCTGGATTACATCATTGGTGACACTGGGATTGCCAAAGGGAAGCACTTCTGGGCTTTTCACGTGGAAGCCTATTCCTACCTGGTGAAAGTGGGAGTCGTTTCTAGCAACAAGATACAGAAGTTGTTCCATAATACCCATGATGTGACCAGCCCAAGGTAAATTGCAGACTTGCTTAATACGTGTTTGGTATAAGGAGATGGCTTTTAAAAAAATAAATTGTGAGTCTGGTCTTAATTAGTATACAAGATGAACCTAAGCAGTGGGAAGTGGCTTGAAGGTTATAGTGTAAGCAGGTTGTCCTGTTCATCCCCTACTATTAGTAGGAAGATGTTCTAATTGTTCAGAGTCCTATTTTCTTTCTTTTTCGGAAAGAAATCAGGTTCCTGTAGGTATCAAGATATGTCAGTTAAAGCAAGAAGGATAAAAAAAAAAAAAAAAAAGCATAATTTACAAGATTGAAGCCATATCAATTGTCAATAGTAAGACTCTGCCTTAATTCCCTTAGCATACTAAGTTTGGCCGCCACTCAGAGGTACAACGTTCACTGTGCATATCTGTGTGTCTTTGCTGTAGCTTGCGTCATGGTGGATTCCAAGTCACTGGCTCATCCCAGGCTGTAGATTTGCATATGACACTGGAGTGCTACTGAGCACAAACCAAAGGGCAGTGGACAAACCAGCAAAAAGATTTCCAGCTCTCAATTACAGTTGTAGTAAGCCTGGATGTGTCTAGGAACTGCAGGCTGGGAGACTGTCTCCTAGGGGCTCTTAATTAACTTTTTTGTGAATCTAACAAAAGTATTGGCCTTCTGCTGTGTAACATACTGAAAGTATAAAAACACCAGTGTCTTGAGCTTCTGAAAGTCAGATAGAGCCTTTTTGAAAAATGAGAAATTAGATCCTGATTTTCTCACTTCTTTTTCCTTACCCACACAAATATCTGGAAAACTGTAGCTGGCGCACATCTAACCTCCCCCCAAACACCCCAGAATCGCAAACCTAGCTATGGCTTGTCTGCAGAGAACAATGTGTGCTTCTCGGGTCTGTCTTCATTTGGGGATGGAAGTAGAGGGAAAAGCATGCAGACTGAACAAATCTGGCTATAAACTTTCCCCAGTAACCACCTGGGAAACAGGGGTTCAGGGAAGCCTCCAGGCACAGCACTTAAAAAATCCAAACAAACAACAAAAACCCCAGTACTTTTTGTGTTGTGAATTTTAAAGACAATGTGATACAGCATTGGCATGGAAAACTCGTAGGACAACAGTAATGTTAAATGTATTTACTGGTGTCTTGTTTAGTCATGATTAGTCATGTTTGCTAAATTACTTCTGAAGTTAACTAATTTTGTATACCTGTACATTCATTAATGATTGCCTAGATTGAGTACGTTTAGATACAACCTCTCCTTAGTAAAGCCTTCTGTGGTCTTGTCCTCATTAGTGTTTAGCTGTTATTAATTGTTTGAAGTGGCCCAAGTGAGTGTTCTCCACCTACTAAGTGCATCTTCCCTCCTCGCTTAGGTATATTTCTACACCACGAGGTTTTGCGGGTGATTGCGTGGTGTCAGTTATCTTATGAAAATGATTTCTGCAGTTCACATCACTGATCCCACTTCAGAATTTGACAAAAGCAAATGGTTGTTCTTCTGTTCTTAGGTACGAGCAAGACAGTGGTCATGACAGTGGGAGTGAAGATGCCTTCTTTGACTCATCACAGCCTTTCACACTGGTCACTTTAGGCATGAAGAAGTTCTTTATCCCCACGACACCTGCTGCCCCCAAAGATCCAGCGAGCAGAATCCTTCCCTTGCCGTCGTGCTTGGGCATCTGCCTCGACTGTGACAAAGGCAAGCTGGGGTTTTACGATGCCGGCTGTATGAAATGCCTTTATGAGTGCGAGGTGGACTGCTCTGGCATAATGTACCCAGCATTTGCCTTAATGGGTGGCGCAGCAGTTCATCTTGAGGAAGCTGTCACAGCAAAGTACGGGGAGTACCACGACGACATCTAGTGCATGAATCTCTTCCCATTGTTGTTCTGAGATGGAAAATGAGAGCTGAAAAATGCTCCCTTAGTTTTGAGTCCTGATTAGTTACATTCTACTTATACATTGCTCACAAGCCTCTGGGCCGTGCTTTTTTTAAACAAATGGTCGAGACACTTCTCACACCAGTGGGAAATGTTCTTCCAGGAACTCTCCTGACTTTCTTGTGATCTGTGTGATGCTGTTCTTCACAGGCTTTCTTCCCAGGGGGAAGCAGGCAGGAAGTTTGACTAGCAACCAAAATTACTCTTCAGGGGTAGAAATCTGCCTTTTGTGTAACTTAAATCCGTACATAGTCAGTTTTGCATTTAATGAAGTCAGAGCTGACAGCCTGTGATTGCCATTCTTCTTTTAAGAAATCTGCCTGAATGCCTCTGAAGGCTCAAATGCTTTCCAGTTAACCCCTGAGCACCAGGGGCTGGGCCTTTCGGCATGAAATGAACACTTGCAAAAATACGATATAAAGCGGGGGAAATCAGAACTGCAGCTGAACATATATGTTGTATTTGGAAAGAGGAGTGTCAACGAGAGTCTGATTGCATGGCATATACCTTTAATGTGAGTGTAAGCTGAAACTAATTCTGACACCTAGTGTCATATAGTTGGTGGCATAATGACAAGTTCCTTTACTCTTCCAGGCTTTTACTACAGGCTATATAAAATATATAAAGTGCAATTCTACGTTAAACACCAAACTTTAGAGTCCGAATTCAGAAGTGTTTGCATGTGTGAGTACTAGTACCTGGTATTTAGGCAAAAGCAAATCAGTTATTGACAAGATTAATAATATGTGAACTCTAAAAAAAATCAGGTATTTCCTTTAATACTTGTTTCTATAAGTTAATTTTTTGATCTCTTAGCAGCTTGCTTTTCTAATAAGAATATTAAAAATGCACTGATTACGTTTTGAGACCCAATTTCTGCCTTAAAGGATGTCTCCCCTCAAATTTCTTTTCCTGTCATGTTAAAAACTGCATCACATAGTAGTTTTTCATAGAGTCATACAACCACAGAATGGTTTGGGTTGGAAGAGACCTTTAAAGATCCTCTACTCCCCCCGCCATGGGCAGAGACATCTTTCACTAGATCAGGTTGCTCAAAGCTCTGTCCAACCTGACCTTGAGCACTTCCACAGCTTCTCTGGGCGCCTGTTCCAGGGTCTCACCATCTTCATAGTGAAAAATTTCAAGGGAGGTGATTCTGCCCCTCTACTCCACTCTCGTGAGACCCCACCTGGATTAGTGCATCCAGCACTGGAGCCCCCAGCATAGGAGAGACATGGACCTCTTGGAGCGGGCCCAGAGGAGGGCCGAAGATCTTCAGAGGGCTGGAGCACTTCTCCTATGAGGACAGACTGAGAGAGTTGGGGTTGTTCAGCCTGGAGAAGAGAAGACTCCAGGGAGACCTTATAGTGTCCTTCAGTACCTAAAGGAGGCCTACAGGAAAGCTGGGGAGGGACTCTTTATAAGGGCATGTAGTGATAAGATGATGAGGGATGGCTTCAAACTGGAAGAAGGTAGATTTAGATTAAATATTAGGAGGAAATCTTTCACTTTGAGAGTGTTAAGGCACTGGAACAGGTTGCCCAGAGAAGTTGTGGAAGCTCCATCCCTGGAGGTGTTCAAGGCCAGGCTGGATGGGACTTTGAGCAGCCTGGTCTAGATGGAGGTGTCCCTGCCTATGGCGGGGGGGTGGAACTGGGTGATCTTCAAGGTCCCTTCCAACCCAAATCATTCTATGATTCAATGATTCTTCCTTATATCTAATCTAAGTCTACCCTCTTCAGTTTAAAACCATTGCCCCTTGTCCTGTCTCTACAGGCTTTGGTAAAAAGTCTGTCTCTGTCTATCTTAGGATTCCCCTTTATATATTGAAAGGCTGCAATAAGGTCTCCCCAGAGCCTTCTCTTCTCCAGGCTGAACAACCCCCAGCCTCTCTCAGCCTGTCTTCACAGGAGAGGTGTTCCAGCCCTCTGAGCATTTTTGTGGCCCTCCTCTGAACCTGCTCTGTGCTGAGGGACACAGAGCTGGATGCTATACTCCAGGTGGGATCTTGGGAGAGCACAGTGGGAGAATCACCTTCTTTGCCCTGCTGCCCACCAAGCAGCCCAGGATACAATTGGCTTTCTGGGCTGCAAATGCACATTGCTGGTTTATGTCCAATATCTCATCCACCAGGATCCCCAAGTCCATCTCTGCAGGGCTGCACTCCACCCCTAGTCTGTATTGATTCTGGGGATTGCCCAGACCCAGGGGCAGGACCTTGTGCTTGGTCTTGGAGGACCTCATGAGGTTCACATGTTGCCACTCCTCAAGCCTGTCAAGGTCCCTCTGGATGGCGTCCCTTCCCTCTAGAGTATCAACCGCACCACTCAGCTTGGTGTCATCTGCAAACTTCCTGAGGGTGCAGTCAATCCCACTGTCTATGTTGTTAATGAAGATGTTGAATAATATCGGTGCCAGTCCAGATGCTTGAGGGACACCACTTGTTACTGGTTTCTGCTTGGACATTGAACTATTGACTGTATGTAACTCCATCCAACTATTGACTGTATGTGGCCATCCAGCCAATTCCTCATCCATTGAACAGTCCATCCATCAAACCCAAGTCTCTCTGATTTAGAGGTAAGAATGTTTGGGGGGGATCATATCAAAGGCCTTACAGAAGTCCAGGTATGTGACATTTTAGCTCTTCCTTTGTCCACTGGTGCAGTCCCTCCATCACCGAAGACCACTAGATGAGTCAGGCAAGGTTTGCCATTGTTGGCTGTCTCTAATCACCTCCCTGTCTTCCATTTGTTTAGACATATCTACCAGGAGGATCTGTTACATGATCTTACTGGGCACGGAGGTGGACTGCATCTGTTTATAAAAATCTATGTAAGAAACATTTGAGTACTTGCACTGTTAACTTGTGTCGTGGAAAAATAAGGATCTAAAGTGAAGGATGTTTCTAATACACACTTGGTGCTTTCTAATTTGGGGATATGCTTTCTAATTTGGGGATAGTGTTGTATCTTGATGAATGTGTGTGAAGTGTGCTTACTAGGTACATGTATACAGCGGTAGAGCTATGAAACGGGACCTGAAAATTACAATACACTTAAATGAATGTAGGTCATAATGCAAAACCTTTGTGTGCTTTGCTGTCTGAACTGTTGTACTGATCTGACCTGGAGTCTGGCCTTCCCGGTGTCCTCTCTGTTAAGGCTCTGTCTGGTAGCAATTGTTGGGAGAAATTGGCAGAAATAGTAATTGGCAGAAATATCATCTGCGCTGAGGTGAGCATGATAGCCCTTTTGGGGATAGAAAGGCCCAGCAAGGGCAAATTCTTGTCTGGGTCTCACCTGCAAATGTTTCTGCCTTAGTGAGGCTGTGTGGAAGTATGTTCCACAGCTTCATTGTGTGCTTGTGTGAGAAACACTTTGATGTCCCAGGCAGCAGGTGTGAAGCAGTGGGTGGGTATCTTTTGGAACTTTCTTCTGCAGGAGAAATGGCAAGTTGTCCCTTGCTAGTTATCCTTTAGGTCATTTCTTTTTTGTAATAGATGGTTATCATACCCTTTCTTTCCCATTATGCCCCGCTCCCCATCATGTTTCCATCTCGCTGGATGGAAGCCATTCTGTACTGGTGAGCATCCTGCTGCCCCTCTTTCTCCTCTCGCCTTCTGAGGCTGACTGAGGGAGCCCTCCATACAGACACTCTGTTGCTGTGAAGGATGGCAAAATGATGCGTTTTCCTTCTTTCCATAGTCCTAAAACCGTAATTGCCTTTTTGGTCAATATCAAATATTAAGCTGACATTTACGAAGTTTATTCTGTAGTGTTTTCCACGCAATCCTGATGGTTAGTTGTAAACAAGCTGTGCACATGCAGGGTTTCCCCACCTTGTGTGTTATTTTTCATTTGTTAACGTTCAGTTTCTCTTGATCTTTTACCTAGTCCCTTAGTCCCAAGGGCCTCATGCAGCTCTTCAGTCACTTCTAGACTTGAATGTTCCTGAGTAGCTTTAGAGGTAACACAAACGTAGTAATTTTTTTGTTTGCTTGCTTTTCCAGATCTTGGAGCAACTTAAGTTGTAGTGAGACACAGCAAATCTCTTTCTGCTGTTGAAATTTACTGTTCCTTCCACGTTTTTTTTTTTCCCCTCAGTCATTTATTAAACCACGATTAGCCGGTCAAGCACTGAAAACTTTTACACGTTAGTACACTTTATTGAGTAGATGGCGACTCTTGTTCTTGTGTATGTGAGCCCAGTAGCCAAACAGACCCAGGAGATGGGATTTTCTCTTCAGTAGATGTGACTTCTCCCGTTGTATAATCACCGTTTTTCTGTTCATCTACCAAACCTAGTACCGGCTTAAAACTATAGACTATATGGTTGAACTTTCTGGTTTGTTGTTCCCAGACCAACTCTCCTTCCACAGACAAATGTATGATTTTTGATTCCTCTGTTTCAGAATCTGGTCTACATTAGAGGTTTTATGTCAGGGTTAGCACTCCACAGTTCCACATTTGGATTCTTTAAAAGAATCTGGACCCATATCACCAGGCTTTGGCCTTTCATTAGTTTCTGGAAATATTCATAAATTGAACATTCTGTCTTAGATATGGAGACATTCTCTCACACTCATTTATTTTAAAAAAATAAATTACTGGTTTGAGAATACAGAAGTAAGAAATAAAAAATTTAGGTTTTTTTTTTTTCTACTGTAGCTTTATCTTACATTCATTTAAGATGTGCTCTGCTATGCAATTACTTATTCTACTGGACAGAGACTGATGCTACTTTAAACACTTATCTACCTTTTGATATGTCTGTTTGTATTTATCTCATTCTGAGTTTAAAAATGGATTTGGCTTTTGGTGTTACTTGAATACTTAGGATGCATTCATTACAGTACTCTATGGTGCTTACTCCAGCTTATTAAATAAAAAAACACACTGTCAGAGGCACTGACAACACACT